CGGTCTCAAAACGCCCTCAGAAGCTTTGGAGTTTGAGGAAATGGAATTTGAAACCCCTTTCCAAAATGTACTAAATGTGTAACCTTGTCAGGTCCCTCAACTTCTCTGAGCCCTGATTTCCTAATCAGCAAAAAGGGAAAGTTCTACCTACCTCACAGGACTGTTGCAAGGTTAGAAGGATACAGTAATGTTGGAGGGAGCACTCTAAGGTGGTCCCTAGACTCCCGGCCCCTGGTGTACGAACCTGCAGAATCCCCTCCCCTGAGTGTGGGTGGGACCCGGGAATATGATGAGATGCTCACTCCTGCGACTACTGTTACTTTATATAAGACGCTGTCACCACGGAGCGGGGAGAGGCTCTCCTGCTGGCTCTGGAGAAGTGAGCTGTCATGATGGGAGAGGCCCACGTGGCTAGGACCTGAGGGCCTCTAGGAGCTGAGCCACCCCGATCCAACAAGCAGCAAGAAAGCAGGACTTTCATCTTACAGCTGCAAGAAACTGAATTCTGCCAACACCTAAATGAGCTTGGCTTGGACCCCAAGCCTCCGATGAGATCACAGCCCCTGCAGGTACCTTGATTTCAACCTGGGGGGACCCTGAGCAGAGATGCCAGCTGGACCATGCCTGGGCATATGACCTACAGAAACTGTGGGATAATAAATGGCTGTTGTTTTAAGCTGCTAGGTTTGTGGTAATTCGTTACACAGGAATGGAAAACTAATATAATAATCTCAGTTTGGACCAAATTGCCATTTGACTAGGTCAAAAAGTGTTGCGTACAGGCGGTTGCACGTGGTTCAGCCCCATACAGATGTGAAGCGCCTAGCACGTAGTAAGCACTCAGTAAAGCCACTGTTAGTATTCCCCTGGCTCCACTAAAGCCTGCCCTGGCTAGTCAGTGGCTCACTGACCTCTTTTTCCCGGGACTGGCTTTGACAGTGCCTGCTGCCCCGGCCCTCCTTCCCCGGAGCGCCTCCCCTGCCTGTCAGATGAAAGCCTTCAGGGCCCATTCGCACTCCTTCTCCGAGGCCCAGGGACAGCTCCGAGCCTGACTGCCTCTCCTGCCCCAGGGAAGCAAAACACCAACCGGAACCGACAGCAGAAAACAACATCTCTGGGGCAGAGGCAACAGCTGCCCAGCAGCCCCAGGCCAGCCGCCAGCCGGCGGGGAGAGGGTAGCTGCTTGAGAGATTCCAGCAGGGCTGAGCAAGGCCTGCCTCTGACCGCACCCCCTCGCCTTCTCTGGGGTCGGGAGCCCCACCATGTGGAAGCGAGCTTTGCCTCTTCCAGCAGGATCCTGTGGGGAAGTGCAAAGGTTTCCTGTTACATAAAAAATGCAAATCGCTCTTTCTAAGCAGCAGGCTGGTCCTGATCGGTGCATCGAATGACGCATAGAAACTAGGAAAATAGTGCGACCCTTGGGGAATGGGACACTGGACAGGTGAGTTTTGACTGGGTCTGCATGGAGGCTAACCGAGTCAGGAAAGGTCTGGAACAGACCACCAGAGGAAAGAGAGGCTGCGGCTCACACTCTCTACAGTGTCTGCTGGTATGTGGTTCCATAAACCATCTACCCTACTCACTCAGAATCTCCAAATGTTAAATACATGTCAATAAAGCTGGGGGGGTGGGGGGTAAGAATCTCTACGTGGATCAGATCTTCAGGACCCACACAGAACCTGGGACTCAACTAAAGAGACAGATCTGTATTTACTTTCAGGTGTCAAATAACAGGCAACGTACATTACATTCATACAACCCTCCTAGCCATGATGAGGATTATTAGACTTCCTTTAAAGGTGAGGAAACTGAAGCTGAGTAGTTTACCCAATGTCACAGGGATAGAACTGGGATTTGAACCCAGGAAGACAGATCCCATAGCTCATGTTCTTAACCACTGAGCAAAACAACCAGGCACTTTATGATCTTTGGTCCTAAGTTCACCCAAGTCAGTAAAAAACAATTATTTGGGAGTGAACTATTGATCAGCCCAAGAGATACCCTACCTACAACAGAGGCCGGAACACGTCCATCACAGTGTCATCCGCCTTCTGCAGAGGCTTGGTTGGGCCCGTGCTGTGGTCCTAGCTGAGGCTCAGACGTGCCCCTGTACCAGGCAGCTCTGCTCAGCTGGGAGAGCCCTGGGATGGCGGGCAGGTGCTTGGGTCCTTCCCCAGGCAAGAGCAGGGAGCTTCTAGAACTGCAGAGGTGGCAGGGATCTTCCCAAGGAGCAGAGAGGGAAGGGGACTGGCCCCCAGTTCCCTGAAACACCGGCCTCCCTCGATCCCAGCTATTCATTCTGAAGCTCCCTGGGGTTCTTACCCCACCAACACCTCTGCCTGCCCTAGATGCTCAGGGCAGGGGCACCCCATAGCCTTCTCCTGGGGCCCAGGCAGTGCTGACCACGGGAGGCAGGGAGGAGGACTTGACTCTCATTAATAGGTGACTGTGGAGTGTAGAATATACTAGAGAAAACCAGTCTGTGCAGCTCTCCCTCCTCCCCATCCTCCTCCTTTCCTCCCCACCTCCTCTTTCTTCTAGAACCTGGATAGTTGGACCTGGTTGAGGAAAAGAGATGGATTTACAATTTCAAGCTCACCTATATTTTTTTCAGGCCTCCCTTCTGTCCCAGATGATTCCCCCTCCTCACTCCTTCCTCCCAAAACCCACTTTCCACCCCCAGGCTTTCAGGAAAGCAGGAACAGAGCCCGGGCAGGCCCCTCAGACCGCTGGATCATGTGTCCTGAGAGGGAATGGATCCCAGGGTTGATCCCAGGTACACCCCCATGATCTCAAATGCATCCCTAGGTCCCTTTCAGGCAAAAAGTCTGACACCTCTACTTCCAGAGAGCAAACAGGAGGGACCAAGCATTGCGGCCTTACAATAAACATTGTAGCTAGTTATTGAGCACCAACTGTGTGCCAAACAAGTGCCAAGTAGTGCACTGGGAGCTTCGTAATCCTCTATTCCTGTAAGTTAATTCCTCCAACAGTGTTGTCGAGCACCTGCTATGATGTGCCAGCCACTTGTACAAGCACATGAGCGACCTCGGCAAATGAGGTTCCTCATTGTTTGCACTTGAAATGGGGGGAACCTAGGCTGAAAGTCAGCCACAAGTGCTGGCGCAGATTCCGTTTCAAGGTGTCTGCCCCCAAAGCCACAATGCCATGTGCCCTCTGCCTCCTCCCCTCTCCACTGGAGTAGAGGCTTCGTAGATCTGAGTCAGGATGGATCTCTGCCCTCAAATGCTTAGCTAGTTGCTTTGGGGGAGGAGGGATCAAGTCCACACACCTGAGCTGTCTTCAGAGGCTGAGTGCTCTCAGTATGTAAATGACCCCATGGCCCAGGCTGAGTACTCAGGACCCAGGGGACACAGAAGACAGTGATTCGGGTTGGGTCTCTCATGGGTGAGAAGGAGGGCTGGAAGTGGGGGCACGAGGCCAGGCTTTTCAGGGTGCAGGGCATGAACTGGCAGAGATGGAGGAGGGGTGAACTCTGGATGGGGCATGGGTTGTTCATGGGCTTGGCGGTGGGAGGATCCTGAGACAGCTCTGAGAGGCATGACTGAAGGCTGGAGGGGAGTCAGGCACAGGGACGTGTGACTTGCTGGAGGAGGGAGGGCGGGCTGTGGCAGCTGCTGGTGGCTGAGGAGGTGAGACTGGAGCTACTAGGCCATCAGGATTCTCCAGCAGAGTAATGGCAAGATGCAAATGGCGCTGGGGGGTAATTCTGACAGCATTGTGTGTGGGACTGGGACAGACATGAGATTTATCACCGGAGCCTGGCTTAGGGGGTGCAGCTATGTTTGACATCAACCCTCACTCTCACTCACCCTCAATCCCCCACCAATCCCTCCCTCTCTCACCGCCCCACCCCCACCCCCACCCCCAGGGCCCAGGTCCTCTGGCTCTATTTGCACCTACCCACTGCCCGGAATACAGGGGTGGGTGGGCCATGAGGCTAGGTAAAGGGTCTGACCAAAGAGGGTGGGGTGGGTGATTTGGAACGATGGCACAGCCAGGACTTGAGTCATTTGGGGCAAGGGGATGGCATCTCAAGGGACCTATGCCTGGGCCACAGTGCCCCTCACAGTTCCAGCAAGGAAGTGACCCTAGGCCAGCCACAATGTGACTGCACTAGGGAAAAGTACCCCCATCTCCACCTGCACTCCCTTACTACCTGGGGCAGCCTTCCCCTCAGATAGGAGAACCTGGCAGAGACCCAGCTCTGAGATGAAGTTACCCCCAAAGCCTGTGTGACACGACAGGATTTTAGGGTAGAAGCCCACAGAAACACCCTCCGCCTCCCCTGCTGGACTCAATTACACACGCAATGTTATAGTCCTTTGGCTTAAGATTTTGTACCCAAGTTATTGTTTTTTTAATGGTATCATTTACAATTGTTGTCAGTTACCCACACCTCTGTGAATGAATGAGCCAATATGATCCTTTTCCAAGAGTCAGTTTTGTTGATGGAGGTGAAGACAGGCGTTAGAATCCTGGGGTCTGAGACGGTGGGGGGGCGGGGGAGAAGAGGGTGGGAGTACTGGGGCAAAGGAGGGGGAAGAAGAGAGAAAAGGAGGACAAGAAGGCAGGGGTTGGGCACACCTGGGAGGGATGGTGTGCCCCTGCCCCAAATAACTCAAGTCCTGGCTGCGCCGTCGTTCCAAATCACAGCCGATCACTCACTTCTAGATTTGGGGAGGAGTTGATCAGAAATAACCTGTTCGAAGACCCGGGTATAGTCTTTCGCTCCCTCCCTCTCCCCACTCGGACGCCTGGACCCCTGTTCCTGTGTCTTCATATCTCCTAGCAGCGACAGCACCGAGAGCAAACTTTCGGGAATACGACCCCAAGCCTGGCTTCCATTCCACCGTCGCCACCCGCGGCTGGCAGGGGCTCTTGCTGGACAGGAGGGGATTGGGGAGGGGGAGGCGTCCTGGAATCGAGAACACGGGCCACGGGGCGGGACAGGGGAACCCGGCCAGCGGGCGGCTCACCTGCAGGACACGGTGATCTCCACCTTGGTGGCTGGGATGCTGCCCGCCAAGGAGTCGAACTCGCTCAGCGACGTCATGTCCTCGGGCTGCTCCATCGCCCACCGCGCCCCCCACCCCAAATTAGTCAACCCCTGCGCTATTCACGCCTTCGTGGGAGCAACTGAAACCCTGGGCTCTCCCCCAACTCCGGAGCCAAGGCTGGGCGGCAAAGGGAGGAGAGAGAGGAGCTTGAAGAGGGGGCGTGGGAAGTGAGGGAGGGAAGGGGGGCGGAGGGAGCGGGGGACGAGGATCTGGGGGGTGGGGTAAGGGGGTCGCAACGAGGAGGCTGGGGGCCTAACGGACAGGGGCGAGACGCCCAGGGAGCTGGGGCGCAGCGGGGCGAGGCGGAGGGGCGCGGGGCGAGGGCGCCGGGAGGGACGCGTGCAGATTCGGGCGGGGGCAGAAGGGGTGCAGGAGAGAAAGGGGGCGTGGGGGGCCAGAGGGGCGCAGGCAGCGGGGGTGGCCGGACGCCGGCAGCTTGGAGCCCGGAGCGCTGGGCTAACCGCCTCTTGCTGGGTCTCGGCGCGGGCGGCGGCGGGGCTGGGGACGCGGCAGCGAGCGCCACCTCCTCCGCTCGGGCTCCGACTCCGGGGCGCCGGGGCTGCGGGAAAATCAAATCTGCCAGAAGCCGCCGCCTCCTGCCACCGGGCCGGGCTGCTTGCGGGGCGGTGAGCGCCGGAGGGGGCGCCCGCAGGGGCCGGGGCGGGGCCGCGGGCGGGGTCTGCGCGCTGGGCTGAGTGTCTGTGAGCGTGTCTGTGTGTGCGCGCGTGGCAGGCGTGGGGACGCGGCTCCAGATGCTGGGAGCCTGGGGGTGACAGCCTGAGATGGTCGGGTCAGTGCGCATCTCCAGCTGCGCCGGCCCCCCACCCACTCGAGGGGTCTCCACCCACGGGGGAAGGATACGAATGTGCGGGCCAAGAGGCACCTGTTTGAGAAAGGTCTAAACGGGGCGCGGCGGGGGGGACATACGCAAAAGAGAAAGAACCCACACACACCCAGAGGGTTGGGGAGTTCTCTGCAGCGGGTGCCCCCACCGCGAGGGGGCGGGTCTCAGTCCAGAAGCGGACTCCGCCTCTTCTGGGGACGCGTATGGGGGCGACCCCAGAGCCCCGGGGAGCTGCCTCGGTGTTCTAGTGAGGGCCCTTAGGCCTAGGAGGGTCGGTGCCTGGGCTCGCCCCAATCGCTTCTGGCGCCTGCCGGGCCTGGCCACGCCGAGTCAGCCACGTGAGCCACGCGCCAGCGCCCTCCCCAACCATGGCCCGTCGTGAGCACAAGGCTGAGCCAGCCCCCGGGTCTAGAATCTTCCTCCACCACACTGAGAGGGCAGCCTGAGCTCCCTGGGCTTCTAAGCCACCAGCACAGAGTAGGCGCCTGCTGTGCGGAGGCTCTGATCCCGGCGAGGGGGGACACTGAGGCACCTCTCAGGAGGCCCCACCCCTCCCCAGCTCATCCTGACGGGCCTGGGGTCACAGCGCCGTGGCAATTTCCGGGGCTGAGCCTGTGGACTCGCCTCCAGAGAATCCTCCGCAGCCCCTCCTTAGCCTGGGCCTAAGCTTTGCTGAGATGGAGCCTCCTCCTCTGAGCCCCCGCGGAGCCCTTGGCACGCGCACCTCTGTGCCGGGGGAGGGGCCGGGGAGTCCAGGAACCCAGGCTGGACCCCGAAAAGCCACGCCCCTGGGGTCCTGTCTTTAGCCCCTGAGTCTTAACTGGTTGGTGGAGATTCTGTTTGAAGTCAATTCCCGGAACATCAAATACAGCCAAAGTCAAAGATAAATATAAGAACACATTCCTTGGACTGAGTTAAGTGTTTTCCTTTTACCCATGGCACGGTATGGGCTGGACTAGGTTCTGCCACCTGGGACCGGCAGCAAGGGGCAGAGGCTCTGGCATTCCCGGGGCAGTGGGGCACAACTGGGTGGGAAGGCCCCCTAGGATTTGGGCCGGAGGCCCACTGTACATGGAGAACAATTTGGGCCTCCTCTCCTGAGGGATACAAAACCAGACTTGGAACTATGCCCTTCACACCTCATCCCCATAGACCTGTCCTAGACCCTGCTCCAAACATACTTGTGGGACGCGTTCCTCATTCATTCCACTGGCATTTATTTACTGAGTATCTGCTGTGTTCTCGGCCTGTGCTAGGGCCACTTGGGAAACTTCTTTGAGAACGATGATAATCACCATTATATTTTCAAAGAGCTTACCCTGGACCAGACACCATACTTAATATTTTTAAAAGATATTATTCACATATCATAAAATTCACTATTTCAAAGTGTACAGTTCAGTGGGTTTTAGTATGCACAGTTAAATTCTCAAAATAAGTATAGGTATAAGGTATTATTATCTACATTTAAAAAGTAAGGTAGCTAGCGCCTAGAGAGGTTAGGTAGCTTGACCATGATCACACAACTGGGAACTTGGCAGAGTGAGAATTTGGACCCCGGCTGTTGAGACCAAAGCCTGACTCTGAACAAAAGACTTGAGTGCCTCTTTAGATGGGGCCAGGTAATGGAGCATCATAAAAGCCATCTATGACCTGAGGCCCTGTTCGGGGTGGGGTGGGGGGGCAATAATAGGGAGCCATTGCAGGTTGTTCAGCAGGTGAGTGGCGAAATTGAAATTCTACTATGTAACCTTGTAATATGACAGCATCTAGAGTAGCAGCCCCTAGGTCTCTTTCTAGAGTGGTTCTGGACATGTCTCTTTCTCTCCAGTACCTCTCGGTCATTGCATTTCCACGGCTGGCTCTTTGGCAAAAAACAGAGTAAAGACAGGAAAAGAGCAGGAAGTGTCTCCAAAGAGTTCCCAGGCTAGCGGGTGCCCAGGACACACATGCAGGCCGGCCCCAGTGCAGCGTGGATGCTGTGGAGGCGTTAAGAGCCTCAGGATAGAGAAGCATGACCAGTGACTCTGCTCCAGGAGTGGGAACAAGGGAGGGTCAGGGGGAACCGCTAAAAGGAGGTGAGATTGAGGACATCGAAGATGATGTCTGTTTGGTTCCCCTACAAGCAGACCCTGAGAGAGAGGTTTGAAGGTGAGTAGTTTATTTGGGACACTAAGGACATGCTATGTGGGGAGTGTGGAGGTGAGACAGGGAAGGCAGCCACTAGGTGGTTATCAAGCCAGTTGTCACTATGGGTGACCAGGGCTCAACCCCACCAAGGAGGAGAATGCACCTCAAACCAGCCAGCCAGAGGGGGCAGGGGGCAGGGTGTACAACTGAAGTCAGTCACTGGCTCAGTGGCCGAGGGCTGCTTCTGGAGGGAGTTAATGCCCTGGCACTTCTGGCCTGACCGGAGTGGCCATGCAGGCTCCAGAAGCCGGAGAACACTTCAGGTAGAGACACTCAGGCACCGGCAGCTGGATGTGGGACTCAAGTGCACGGAGGAGGCAAAGGTTAGGGCATCGACCGGAGAGCAGCCGCCCCAGATGGTGGCCTTCTGCCTGGAGGACAAGGCCGAGCAGTCACCCTGGCAGAGAACCAGTATGACTGAGGGCCAGAGAGCTGTGTTTGGGGACCCTGGTGTGGCTGGAGCCCCCGGTGAGGTCCAGAGGGAGAATAGGAGGCCAAGAGGAGAGGGACGATGAGGGGCCAGAGGCCTCGGCCTCCTGCGGGCACAAAGGCTTCTCAGAAGGGGGCAGCGAAGGAGGGCTGGTCTGAAAGATACTCCCCAACCACATGGCCAACCAGTGAGCCCCAGAACACAAAACCTGCTGACCAGGCCCAGGGCAAAATGCTTACAGTTCTTGCCCAAATGAACTGCTCATGGTTTGAATGCAGCCCATGGGTGTTGCCATTGGGTGGGACATTTCTCCTTTGAGGGCTATAACTGAGGCCACCTGTGATGTCCAGCGGCCAGATTAGAAGTAACCACGGCCCTGGGCCACCCCACCAAGTAACTAACACTGTCCCTCTGATTAAGAACTGTGCGCACGGAATGGCCCATGCCCAGATGTGGAATAATCAGCATCAGCGTTTTGCCTTTGCCATCCAAGACTGCAAACATGCTCTCATCTGACCTAATCGTGGTGTTAATGACAGCAGAGCAATTTTGAGAGGCAGCTCGCAGCATTGATAAGGAGAGGAAAAGCACCACCAGCTTCGGAGGCAGGCTCCTCACACGGAGGCGGCTGTGCCCTCCCCGCCGAGGCGCCCTGTCAACGCTGCCTTCGCGTCCTCCTGTTTGAGGCTGGGGATGGTCGGTGGACAGGAGCACAGAAGAGCAGGGCTGCAACTTAGAACGAACTAGGAAAAGGTGTTCTTGACTCTGGGTGAATGCAACCTGTGGAGCAGAGAGCAGGCTGTAACGGAGCCTCCGCTGACTCCCTTGGCAGGCGTCCTTGTGCAGTGAACGCCCGGCACCACCATACATGGCGCCCTGGAGAGAGAAGAAAGACAGAGGGCATGGCAGGAACCCGAAACCACTGTGATAGTAGGAAGTAGGTGCGATGCGGTGTCTGATTCCATCCATTAATAGAAATGGTAGAAGGGGCTTGGCTGGAGACTATCTAGGTTCAACCTGTTCTGTCAGTAAAAAGCTTAGAGAGGGGAGCGATGCATTCAAGATCACATGACGCTCCCCTTGATGAGATACTCCACTAATAACAGCAAGGTCAGGTACCCAAGAGCAGTGAGGACCTGGCTGAGGTGTGGGGAGAAGCCATAGTCTTCCTTTGGGTAGAGGAAGAGGCAACAGCCAACCACAGGGCTCTCCACACACCCAGCCCCTTCCTCCTGGAGGGTGGCAGATGCCCCATCATCCCACAGAACCCATGCCGCCCCTCCCTTCCTTTCTCCCAGATCGCAGCGCCAGCCAGCTCGGTCCACGTTCATCTGGGTAAAGGGCAGCCCCAGGGCCCTCCCGAGAGTCCGGCAGCCTTTCCTGCTTCTGGGATCCCCCCTCCCCCCCTCTCCTGCCCTGGCATCCGTCTGCAGCCCCATGGGCACGGGCTTCCTCTCTCACTTCTCATGCCCTCCTTTTCCTTCCAGCCACTCATGCTTTTCCAAGAGGGAGGCCTCCCTGCCCTGCCAGTCCAGCTACTGAAATCTTCACACTGACCAGGGGATCCGCTTGAACAGTCGGGTGGTGGCACTCCTCTGCCCGAGACCGTCCACTGGC